AGCTGAGTTGTTAAATGATGCAATATAATGATTTAAATTCAACTGATGTCTTGAAAAAAGGAAGTTTTTTTTTTATCTTAACAATACTGTTGAAACTGCTTATCTAGTTCTGCTCCAACAATCCCAAAATTTATTATAAAGTTCTTCAGCATTTGTGGCAGTTCACTGCACCATCATTCATTAAATACTCATTAATAACTAATAATCATTTATTTAAAGTCATGCTAACAAACAAACCTTTCTCCAAATCTTTCTTGAACTTTTTCCCATTGATATGTCTCAAGAGATCATCCGGATCTTTCGCAATGACCTTCCTAGTAATCTTGCAACCAAATTCATGAGGGCTAAAAATAAAGCAGTTGTAAGTTATTCATTTCAATAATTACAATTCCCATAATAAAATTAACTGCCTAGGCGAAAATTCTGATAGAGCAAAAATTCTGTAACCTTACATCATCAAGGTAATAATAATCAGCATTATTGCTTTTGTTAAGCATACAATATTTCACTTGCTAAATGATCTTTAGAATACGAAAATAATATGCGAGAGAAATTAGAGTCAAACCTAACCCAAAATTCAAAATCGATGTTTTTTGATAGCCAATTAAACTATTTCGAATATGTAAATGAAAAAAATACCCAATATCATCGAAATATTCACCATATTCTTTCATAATTTGATGAATCTTCCATGCACGAAGAAATTTTGATGTCTTAACGTAATGGTCAAGTTGATCGAAACATGAGGGAATCTCATGTCCCGTCAATGTACATCGCAACTATAAAGCAAATAAAGAGTATATATGGTAACAATACCTGGTAGAAAATAAAATTAATCAGACAAAATTAATTTAAAAAAAAATCAAATCTAATCATATTTTAGAAAATAATTCAGTTTAGTTTGTTCATAGTAAAATATTCTGACTAAATCACCATGATAAAACTTATATTCGTACATTGAACTAATATAGATCGTTTTCATTAATCAAAAAAAGAAAAAAAAAAGTTAAAAAACAAACTTTTTGTCTCTCATTGTATTCAAAGACAGGATATTGATCCAATAAACACTGTAATTCTTCCGTCATTTCTTCTGATTTATTGACTGAAACAATAACGAGTGGTATGGTATGCGGCTGTCAACTATCCAATGACCATCGTCCTTTGGTCATTACTATCCTTTCGCCATTTTATTCACAAAACCCCCTCATATTTATTAAGATTAAAACAATCCCACAAAGTGGAAAAAAAAAACTTCAGTGCTCAATTTTTACGGACCGTATAAACTCAACACGTGAAACGTCAAAGCAATTTTTGACGTGTTATTTCACGTTATGTTATTTTCGTTGTAGTAAAAGTAAACTAGGTTGCGTGACGTAAAAAGCCGTCTTTGACGTGTTGTTTAACGTTATTTGTAAGGATACGTCGTGAGTTTGAGGAGGATTGTTGTTATTTTCGTTATGATTTTGATTTGTTATGAATTAAATAAATTATCCAGCATGTCTGCACGTTCCATTTTATTGAGGCTTTCTAGTTAGCTCTGGTAATTTAACGGGATAACTCGTTAAAATAGCGCAGAACTGACTAGAAAGCTAGTACTCGTATGTGTAGTTGTATATAGTTATTCGATTATTTCTTTAAACAATTAGTATCGAAGTAATATCCGTTGATTTATATTTTAAAGATTGCAGCTAAGAAATTAAAATTGAATAGATTCAATTAATTCATTTCACTTTTTTAATTTGCTTATGAAAGCAGGCTCTGAAAGATCAAAGCATACAATCTAATAATTGTAACATTTATAGTGAAGTGTAAGAAAAAACAGCTTGATTGTTGCGCAGTAATTGTATTTTCCCTAAAAGCTGATTTCCTAAAATTGGTGTTTCTGTGTGGTTCGTAAATAAATTCTATTGTATGTGCGTGTCTTAGTGCAAGGTATATGGAGAAATGGAATCCACAAGTGCTTGATGACCACTTGGCAAATTTCAGCTACATCGGAGAGTAAGTTGAAATCATGTTATCGTCTAAATTTAATCAAGCACGTGCGATATCTTTTTAACAGTTATTCCTTTTCAGTAAATCATCATTTCTAAATGTAGTGGAAGACAGGAATAAAATTAAGACCATAATTAGCCTTCTGCTTTATACTGTTGCAGTTCAGTTGTGTGTGATCCATTTATATATAATTTTTGATATCTTCCTTTCCGTCCTTCTTACTAATAGAAAATTAATATTAAAAAAAAACATTCTAGATACTCACCGTGCGACAGCGACTGGACTGTATACAAGAAGTATGCTTCAGACACAATAAGTCCTACCAAATATCCACATTTTCATCGTTGGTTGAATCATCTGAAATTTCTCGAAGGAAAACAAACGTTGGATTTTAATTTAATTTTCTTTTGTATTTTGATATAATTTATAGACATTAACACAAAAATTTGTTATACTTATTACGAAAATGTACAGGAATGGAAGTAAATTGCGGAAAAATTTTTTATGCTTGGAAATTATTATTAAGGAAATGACAGACTCTGTCACATCGTGCTCACAAGCATTTTATTAGAAGTATTGCTATCTGAGTTTTGAACTGCAAATTAAAAATAGTGAAATTAAATTCTTCTTTACCATGTTCATTGTCATTACTAATGCTTTTTTAGTTACGAAATGCCACCGTCGAGTGCCGAGGAGACAGGTGATGCCAGTTTACCCCAAAATTTGCTACATTACCTTGAGAAGCATCATCAATTTGACACGTTCGAATATGCTGCAGCTACCAGAGAAGATCATCAGAAAGTAGTAGGTGCTGTGAAAAGTTTAGAAGCAGTTGAAGAGGTTTGTATTTTTTATTTTCCTTTTTTATCAATTTTGTCATCTTTTATGCTCAATGAATAGAAAAGAAATTTGTCGCCCTATTACAGCCCCATTATATTCATAGATCATTTTAAAATTATATTTGTATAGTTAGTGGAAACGGAAGAACGAATTTCAAAAACTTTTGAATTGACAACTGAAGGAAGAGGTATGGTTGAAAGTGGTTCACATGAAGCAAAAATTTTTCGATTTATTGGGCCAGATGGGATTGATCAAACCGAATTAATGGTACTAATTTACCAAATAATTCTTTAATTTTCGAAATCTTGCATGAAATTATTCGAAAGCATGCTTGATGTTGTTATGATCACTGGTAAACATTTTTGATATTAAAGTTAAACAATATTATACTTTAAAAACCACTTTACCCACAGAAACTGCCATTCGGTAAAGTGGGCATAAGTAAAGCAATAGCATCCGGATGGATTGCAATTGATAAGACTGCTGGAACAGTACGTATAGTGCGAAAAGTCGAAACGATTAACGATAAAGTGCAAAATGAACTTAAGATGATTTTGGTGGGGAATGTGCAGAAATTGGATATGAAAACTGTAAACGAATTGAAGAAGAGAAAATTAATAACAGAGATGTAGGTTTTTCAACTGGTAGTAAAGTAACAATATTTTCTACGTTAGCTTGTTATCACTAATGTGTACAGAATTTTCTCTAATTTTCTTTAGATTACTCAATTATAATCAAGGCCAAAAGAAGAAATAATTAACTTGCAGTCTGAATTTAAATTTTAAATCAATTGGAGAGTAGATCAAATATTCTGCGTTTCAGATAGTGCCAGAGAAATAAAAAAAAATCACAAAAAGGATATAGTAAGAAACAAAATTGAATACATTTTTCTAATTTTTGTTAATCTGTACACATGTTAATTTGAATACGATGTGTGTAGTTTTACTAAGCATTTTAGTTATATCATTGTTTTTATTGCACCTGAAATCATTACCTATATTTTTCAGTAACATCAAAAGTTATTTGGTCAAAAAAGGTTCAGCATTTTCGACGGTTTTAAGTAAACCCGAGGTTGACCTTACCGCAGATATGATTAACAGGTAAGTAGAGCTCTGTTGATAAAATTTGTATTAATTAGTTTTTAAAGTGACAGTTTAATCTTTAGTAATTAAGAGTAAGTTGTTGTGGCAGATAGTAAACTTAATATGCATGAAAAATATAACAAACTATATGTCTTTGTAGCGGTTCATGGCGAAAGAAGCTATTCAAGAAGTATAACTTTGACGCCTTAGGCATGATGCCAACTGGTGGTCATCTACATCCGCTTATGAAAGTGAGAAGCGAATTTCGGCAAATTTTTTTCCAAATGGGATTTGTTGAAATGCCTACTAACAGGTGAGATATTGCTTAAATTTGATTGACAGTTGAATGTAAATTTTAACAGTGTCTTTCATCTATCCCTTTTTTTATTTTATGGTGATTCAACGACTTACCCTGTCGTTGCATCAGTAAAGAATTTTTGATACTCATATGCTGATTTATTTACTATTTTTTGAGGTACGTGGAATCTTCCTTCTGGAATTTCGATGCTCTCTTTCAACCACAGGAACATCCAGCACGTGATGCTCATGACACTTTTTTTATATCAGACCCAGAAACAAGTTCTAATTTTCCGGAAGATTATTTGCAGCGAGTTAAAAAGGTTCATGCTGAAGGCGGATATGGTTCCAAAGGGTAAGTTTTTATTATAAAGTTTTTTGGTAATTAGCAAAATGTTTAAGTAACGGCAACTTCAAAATTCAGGTATTTTTAAAAGTTTACTGTCGATCAAACAAAATTATATTAAAGAAGCATACTTAAAATTATGATTGAAAATTGAACATGGTTGAAACAATATGGTCATTTCATTGAATTGATCCAGTTTTTGTGAAATATCCCAGCTTTGTCTTAGAAAGTAGAATAAATTTATTTACCCACACCAATGAAAGGAAATTATTTATACTTTTCAGTTACAACTATGACTGGAAATTGGAAGAAGCTCAAAAAAATGTTCTACGGACACACACAACTGCAGTTAGCGCTCGTCAGTTATATAAGCTTGCTAAGGAGGTTTTTATTTTTGATGGCATTAATTGTAGCGGACCAAACTTCAGAATGATAAAGTTACCGTGAGATGAGTTTGAGTTGATAAGCTAAGATAAGCTAAAATGTACTTGAGCAAAATTTTTCATTATTTTCTGGTAGACTTGCTTCCTTGATTTGTCTTTCTTCTAGGGATTCAAGCCTACAAAAATGTTCAGCATCGATAGGGTTTTCCGAAATGAAACACTGGATGCAACACATTTGGCCGAATTTCATCAGGTTTGCTGAAGCACAAAATTCTATTCAGGGCTTCTTACAGTTTCTTGAAAAGAGTAGTATTTTTAATTATTAATTATGTTTGCTATTTTGTATTCCACGAATTTATGTAATTCTATCATCTGTTTGAACTCTGTTTTTTAGGTCGAAGGTGTTGTTGCTGAAAGGAATTTAACCCTTGCTCATGTTATGGGTCTTTTCACCGAATTTTTTCGCAAATGTGGTTAGCTTTGATCCAAAGATCTTATTGATTTTTCAGTTTATGTTCATTTTCATTTCAAATATAAGAAAATTATATAACTGTTATTTTTTCGCCTAAATAATTTCAATTTTGAAAAGCTTATATAATTTCAGGTATAACGAATCTTCGCTTCAAACCCACCTATAACCCTTATACAGAACCATCGATGGAAATATTTGCCTTTCACGAAGGATTAGGAAAGTGGGTGGAAATTGGGAATTCTGGTATGTTCCGTCCTGAAATGTTGTTACCTATGGGATTACCAGCTGATGTGAACGTTGCTGGCTATGGATTATCGCTAGAAAGGTCAACTTTTTCATGATTGCATTATTCGTATTTTATCAGATATTTTATTTTGCTTCTATAAATAAATTGCAACGACTCTGATCGCTACTCATATCGCATATAAAAATTAATGATTTTTCTAAAAATATTTTACAGGCCAACAATGATCCGCTATGGCATCGATAATATAAGGGATTTGTTTGGCCCGAGAGTTGATTTACGAATGATTTATGAGAATCCGATATGTTGTCTTGACAAAAATTGAAATAAATTTTTGTTGACTTTGTCACAACTAACGATAATCGGATATCTTCTATTATTATAGTTGGCTTTACTTAATAATTGTTCGATCATATCCCAGACCTCATTCCAGTCTTTTCATCAGAAATCAATATTTTCAAAATTTGATATTCACATGTCAAGAAATAAGAATTTGTAGCTTTCGGAAATTGTTGCTTTAGGATTTCGTATTTTTAGATGGACGGAATGGATCTGTTCTTAGGGTTCCTTGGAATTATGGACTTATGAATTTTTTTTCCGATCTTTTTTTCTTGTCCTTTTTTTGATGATGTAATGCAGCAGATAAGAAAGTTAATCATTTCCGAAAAGTTAAGTGAATGTTGCACCTCTGTTTCTAATATTTATCTTTTCGGTGTCTGAAGAAAGATTGTTGGTTAACAGTTTGCAAGTTTTTTTGCTTGTGTTGCTTGTGTCTTGCATTTCCGTTGACTTGTTTTCCTGTCCAATCAATTCTTCAACTTGGTTGGGATTGATCATTTTGAAGCTGAAGACACACTCTGAAATACAACAATACCTGTTGCTATATGTGATATGAGGGTTACAGAAAAAAATAGAATGCCAAAGTTTGAATTTACAAATTCTTGTTTGGTTTTGTTTACCTTTCATGTTATTACTAGTAAAAAAACGTAACAATGATGTATTATTGCTTGAGGTTTATAATCCTATCTATCTCTTGTTAACCCATCACTTGAAACATTATGCTCAATAATCTTTTTCTGAATTGTTAAATTTATTTTATGAAAAAATTCCACTTTTCAGTGAAATAATTGGCGATAAGTAATGAAAGTTCAATAACTCAAACATTGATGTAAGTTCATCATCCGGTTGTGCAAGAAATATGGTGTCGTGGGAATTCTGGGGTGATATGTGTTCAATTAATGCATGTTTATCTTGCTTTAACAAATTAGAATTTCCAAATATGTGACAGATATGCGAATACCTCAACCAAATGGAAAATTAACAATGATTCTAGGATTTATGAACATCCCATAAAGCTTTTTTGTCAGGTTTAACATGGAATATATCCAATGTGGAAGAGGTGGTATGGGAAAAAGTATGATGAAAATGCTTATAGAGGAAGTTTTTCGGATAATCAGCATATGGGGTCTTGAATAAATTCCCCACATTATTGGAGAATTTATTCTTGTTCTATTTGCTAATCTGAATTAACATTCTATAATTTTATGACCTTTTTTCCGGAAATCTGAATGAAAAATTGTAAAAATACTGATAAAACAGTTGAGTAGGAATTTACTTCAGGAGTTTCCACCGGTATATTTTATAAGTATTCTGATAGAATTTGCTTCATCATCGTTCAATTCGTTCCTAATAAGGTACTTGCTTAGCAAACTTTGAATATTTTAAATGATCTAATTTTTAACGGTCAATATGTGATGGTATTTTTCCGTGTTTAAAGTTATAGATATTACATTCATTTCTATTTTTATCCCTTCTTGTGGTAATAGGATTAAATTTCTAAGAATTGAGTTAATATGCTGTACTTTAATTGACGTTTTGAAGGATTATTGAATATCGATTGTCGCTTTAAGGTACCTTTATTACTTGGTGTTAATTGTGAGCTACTTGCATTTGGCTTTTGGCTTTTGCCATTTTGATTTTCCTGATTAAGAAGTGATCAAAGGACGGGTGTACGGTAGGTTGCTTCAAATTGAAAGTGAAAATATTGTAGTTTAGTGTTTGTACATTCTAAACTCGTGCTCTTGAATTTGCTATTTAAGTTTTTCTGTATATAAAAAACTATTTGAATTTTAGCATGAATTGAATTTTTTCTCCATATCATTCTGATTGAATTTCAGAACATTTGGATGCCTTTTGGAAATTGTTTTAAGGATAATGTTTTTACCTTCTGATATTTACAGTATAAGTCGTCACTGTAGTTCTTCACAGAACAAATTTTAGGGTATGCTGAGTACCCTTATGAGATGGACTTGTGAGTTCACCAGAAAATCTCCAAGATTGGTGCTTTTCCAACCAGTAAGACATCGTTTCGGGTCAAACAAAAGAGAGAAATATCGGCGACGCATTGATGAATTTAAAGAGAAGATAGAACAATCGAAAAAGAAATTACCTTATCAGGAAGATGTGATTCCTCTCCGTCCACCAAGAGATTTATGGAAAGCATTCGGATTTACTGCTGGAGTATGTCAAATCTTGCAATAAATTCTTTTTCGTCGTATTTTCATTGGATTTCAGTCGCATAACTTTGGACATAATAGTAAATATCATACTGAAATTTTTTCTAACATGTCATTTGAACGAGTAGTATAGATTCGTCAAAATTTCATCATCAGAATCTGATCATTTTCATAACTCTGAAGATTAAGTATAGTATTACAGATCAAAAATTTCTAAGTTATAATTTATATGATTTCCTGATGTTTAGGTTGGAGCTGTGTCATTTGCGCTCGCTGCAGTATGTGATCTTGAAAGATCCAATAACAGGTATGTATTAAATATATCTGGAATTTTCGTTCTTTTCTGCATGTGCGGAAAAAATAAGATTTTTCTTTGTTGGGTGCAGTGAAAGTAGAATGAGTGTCAATTATTTTTATGGATTTCATCACAGTTTTACTTTATAGAATTTACCTTTCAGGTGGCGTGAAATCTACGAAGTGGTTACTGTTAGGTATAATGAAGCCAAAAATCATTTCTCCAAATATCGTCGACTTCGAGATGGTGTGAAGTGCACTTTTATGCTCATTGGTATAAACATGATAGTGATGCTGATGTGGGGAATTAAACGGTGGCAGCTATTTATGTGGAGATGGTTCACAAATAGTTTTGCTTCGAGTTTGTTTATGTATTTTCGTGATATATATCAGTTTTAAGATTTTATATGAATTTTAAAATCTTGTAACTATTCCAACTTTGGTCCTAATTTTCTAAACAAAGAAAAACCTTTTATATTCGAGCAATTCATTTTAGAGTATATACTATTTTGTTTGTCTTTATAATTTCGTTATTATTAATGCTTGTTCTAACCCATTTAATCTTTTTATAATTTAATTCGTGAAGTATACATTTTTATCTACATTTGCTCATTTGCTTTCATTTTTCAGACTATATAGTCCGAAAAATGAAAGCAGATGAGCTCTAAACCCAAGCCCCTAACGTCGAAATATATATTCCATTCTACTAATGTTTTATGATTTATATCATACGCTAATATATGTATTGATACATTTTAGAAGCTTTGTGTCTTCCAATGGTATTAAGTGCTTTCTCTCATGCTAATATGCTTCATCTTGTGCTGAACATGTACGTGCTCAATACATTTGCCCCTGTTTCCATTGACTGTTTTCTTGGAATTGAACAGGTTTGAGATTAAATGTTTAAGTAACATGTTATTTTTTATTATTATTGGCACTGAATCATTGATCTCTTTCCAATCCACTTTTATTCTTTTTTTTATTCAGAACTATATCTTTTTTCTGCTTATTATTGATGAAAATCTGACATTTTGTTGAATATACCTACATTTACAGTTTTGGGCCTTCTACATAACAGCCGCTGCAGTATCGTCTTTAGCAGGAATAACGCATAAATGTATAATAAGAACGAATCGACGAGCTCTTGGAGCTGTTAGTTGTTCTGCTTATATCATTTTTGAGATATTTTCGGTTCATTCTTTGGAATCGCGGGTCCATATTAACTGTTTAAACTGATATAAATTGATACTTCATAGTTTTACAGAGTGGTGCGATAATGGCGTTATTAGTATACACATGCATAAAATTGCCAGATGCAAGGTTAAAAATTGTTTTTGTGCCACATTTTGATTTCTCGGCGAAATCAGCTGTGATAGGAATGATTGCTTTTGACTTTATTTGTTTGCTACTCGGCTTCAAATTGTTCGATCATGCAGCACATTTAGGAGGATCGCTGTTTGGATTGTATGTTTGCACTATATAAAATCTTCAAGTAGTAGAATTTTCATGAGTTGACGTAATTGACATAAATTTCATGAATTATCATCTTATCTGGAAAAATATGCTACGTATAGAATTTTTATGATTTAAAAACAGACGGAGCTTGTCATCGTATATGCTTGCTTTGTTCCAAATAGTACCGAAAACCTTTTTCCTGACTTCTTAAAATGGAATTACATTTTTAAAATCTGTTTCTAAGAATGTTTCAGATTCTATGGTACATATGGTCAGCATCTTATTTGGAAAAAATATGGCGACAAGGTCCTTAAACTATGTGGTATAAACGCAGAGAAGAGGCGAGCCGTGAAGAGAGCACGACGAGGTCGAAGTGCTCCACCTCGTCATTCTTGACTTTGTTTCTGATTTACATACGCTTTTTCTTATTTCATTGCTCATGTGATTTAATAAGTATTGAAAGCAGGATTTCAAGGCATTCCTAAAATGTTTTTAGGAAGGATGGAATTCTCTTATTGTTAGCCCCTCCCCCGCATGTAAATTAAATGATTTTCAATGATTTGTTCTCTTGGTAGAGAGATTTTCAGGATGCTTTTGGACTAGAATCACGACAATTTGGTGACCGAGACAATAAATTGAATTGTCAATTCCGAAATTCAGAACCCTACCTGATACACAAAAATAAGTTATAGAGGGGGTGTCCTTTACGCCTGCATAGGGTTGTCCCAAATGATAATACTGCCATTACTGATGTTTAATTTTTAGTTTTGGTAATACTTTAATTGAAGCTATTCATTTATCTTCGAGAATTGTTTATCCATAATATCCTCAATTTTTCAATATTTTTCATTTTATTGATTGGTTGAAAATTTTTTATTCAGTTAAATTATATAGAGTAAACAGATTCATCTCGCAATATTTTTTTTTTTTGCGTAAATAATGATTATCCATTGCATACCTCACTTTGCTGAAATTTATTTCATTTGAAAATAAAAAGCGTTCGATTTTTTTTTCCATGTGGTTTTGCAAGAAGAACAAACAGAGAAATATAGTGAATGAAGTGTTGCTTTACTATTCGTATTTCTTTCAGAACTTCCAGACAGCAAATTACTTGGCCGAAATTAGGGATTCGTCCTGCCTGGATAAAAAACACGAACACGATCCATTGCTGGATTCCGTCTCTTCCTCGATTCCTGTGAAACATAAGAGTCGTAATTCGGGTTTCCTTTATTACTTCGCCATTCTGAGCCAACATTTTGCCTACTTTCTCCTCTCCAGGATTTTCGCTGATCACCGCTGAAAATCATATCCGTTTTCCATTCTGTAATCTTCGACACGACCTTCGTCGAAATATCAATTAATTTTCATCGTTTTTAGACTGATTGGAACTTCCAAAAAATTTCCCCTATTGCAAAAATATGATAAATATTGAATTATATGTTTAGGTGAAAGCATACATATAATCAAAATTTCTTTTCGGTCTTTTGCTCCACGGACAAACAATGACTGGATCCGGAAAACCATTTGCAACTTCTACGTATAGTTTATTAGCCTGAAAATTTTATACTACATAACTACCATTTTAACAGATTTTATATTGTATGAATGGATCAACTTGTAACGAATGAATCTTACCATTGTATACCGATTAGCGAACAATTCATCTAGATCATTTTCCGTCCTCTGATTGACAAAATCAGTTAGATCAGGGAAATTACACAGTCCTGCAAAACAATCACATAAAAGAATTGCAAAATTGGAGAATCGAAAGCATCAATTCCCACAGATCACAAATATATCATCCATAAACAAATTAGTTTTCATTAAATTTTACATACTTGCATCAGTACTGCTTAATTCTTGAGCAGATGAACATAACTGAACATTGCATGTGCCCGAAACATTATTCGAACTTGCAGCAGTTGTGACCACTGTTCTCTCTGGATCACTCATGTGTAGTAAATACAGTTTTTTTGAGTTGATAGAAACTTTCAACTGGCAACACTTGAATAGGTTATTTTGATTAGAACGATTCCTAAATTAGTAACTTCTATAATCAATATGCAAACGTTGATCAGTACAGAAACAATTCACTTTTATCGCAGTAATATGTAAGAAAGGATTTACTAACCAAAACAAAATAATTCAGGGCAGCGGATTCAAAGGTTTTCTTGCTTTGCAACAAAACATGAAACTTAACAACAACATTACAAAACTATAAAAAAAAATTAACTATAACAAATAAAACGAGATATTACAGGATTTCCTTAAAAATTTCACTATCTAAGGCATTAAAAGAAAGCCAAATTCATGTCAAATTACTGAAACTTTACAGCAGTAGCTTTTCCCAATTTCATCAAATTTCACCTGAATTTTGATTAATCGATTTTAATATTTCATACTCGGAGTAATCAATAACATCCACAGCTTTCAGAGGCTATAATTAAATTTCTCCGAAGTATTGTTTACTATGCTTCTTCCATAGGGACTTGACTCCTTCTTTACAATTTATCTTTTTATGTATAAGGAATCCTATCACAAGAAAAATCAAGTGAAGTTGCTGATAAATTCTTAACGATTCGTCTTGCTCTTAATCTGAATTTCAAGAAAAACTTAAACTTATAGTTGTTTTAAAATTCACTTCATTCTTTTCCAAATTAACTGGAGTAAAGAAAATTTTATGCTATAGAACATGAAAATTAAATTTCTCTGTTGAAGGTTTTATTCTGAATGACTTAAGCTATTGTTAAAAATGCATATCAAAAGTAGTAAAATTTACCCACTATTTTAAAACTGTAGCTGAAAAATACTACACCTAAAAACTAGCTGAGGATGGATGAAGAGTAGAAAATTTAGGATGAAATAATTGAAAAATAAAAAGAAAGTTTCTGAGAAGGAATATAATTACTAGTTATTATGCGAAAACCTGAAGTAACGAAATTACCTTTTTAGATAGAAAAATAATGCAATCGAATAACAAATTTTCAGAGCTAAACGAGCAATAAAAAAAGAAGCTTTATATGACTGACCAAGGGTAAATATCTGGAAGACAAAATAATGAGCCAAGTATAGAAAATTATGGATATCTGGATTGTACCTAGAGAGATACACAAAGCAAAAATAACCAAACTGTTAAAACTGATAATACCGGAAAAAGCTCCAACCACTTCTTATTTATAATTCATAAAAGATGGCAAATGGATAGTGGAATAGATAAATAAAGTATTCTTCAGAAATTATATTAAAAGTTTGAAACAGTTTACAAAAGCAGTTTCGTATAATACCAAAGAATTTCGGAAAAATTAAGACAGTCACTTCCAGCAAAAGATTGTTAGAATGCTTAAAACTTAGTAACATGGAAAATTTAAATTTAAAATCACGTAAGCAAGACAGGAAACTAAGATGGGCTACCCTCGTCGCTGCTCGAACTACTGCTTGAGTCAGAGCTCATCTGTTCAACATTTGTCACTGGCGGTGGAAGTCCTCCTCTTATGGTATTTTGATAGGATGATGATGGGCTAGATAAATGCGGACTACTTCCCGTCATAGATGGACGTCGCTGCAATAGGCTTGCACCCGGTGCGGTGCTAAGGCGCGGCGATATGATGCTACCGCGACCAGCTGCACTTCTACCTCGAGGTGAAGATGATTGTTGAACGAATGCGCCACGCGGACTCCATGACCTAAATTAAATGATTCTCATTTCCAAATACAATAAAAAAATAAAAAACAATTTTGAAATTTGCGCTTGTTACCCTACTACATTCAATCAATATTCTGGTACTTTTTCTCTTCATTTTCAACTGAATAATATTTGATCCACGCATGCATTAATCTAATACTATCTTCCTTATCAAGAACTAAAGGAAGAAGATTAAATGATAATGCCTTTGTTGCTGTTGCATAGCTGCCGAATACGACGTCATCGGTGAAGTACCACGTCCGCTACCACGTAACATTCCACTAGTACTGGCAGTAGGTTGACGAAGCAAAGATAATGTTGGGGGAGCTGCCTGTACTATTACACGTGGTGCTGCTAATGCCGATAAACGTAATTCTGCCTGCAGATTACTTAATTTGATTTCAAAACTGTAATTTGAGCGGAAAAAACAAAACTTTAGAGGATATGAAAGCTGCCTACCATTATAATGAAAACAAAACGAAAAAGATAGAAGAGATAAAAGAGAAAGATATGAACATTTTTCATTTGCTAGTTTATAAATGACTGCGGGATGACTTTTTTGTTTCCATTTTGGCAGGAAAAAAGTAGGAATTTTCAAACCTCTGTAGGATACGGACGAGATGTATCGCCTAACTGCCAACCAAGTGGCGCTGCCACAGCATATGTTCTACTAATTTGATTAGCGAAACGAATAACCGTTTCACTGTTCACCCTGTTTGCTTCTGATTGACGCATTTCTTTCACCTTTTTATCAGCCTTAAGCGATCATTTTGCAAAAAAGATATGTTTCAAAGTGAAAAGTGATAAAAGTTAGAATACTGCCTCTAACAATTTCTTTCAGCTCTCTGCTTCAAAATTTGTAACCCATCTCTTACACCTCATTCCATAATTTCCAAGCTTAACTTATTTCACTTCAATAAAGTGTTAACATTTAGTTATAAAATAAAGTCAAATTTTATACCATACCTGAAAAACCATTTTAGTTATGAGCTTCTCAGCAACCATCAACTGCTTTTGCAAATCTCCAAGAACTTTATCTCGTGCTTCAACTTCTGCTTCCAGTCTTCGGATCTCTCGCTCTCTTCGTTGGTAAGCAGGCACTAAAAATAGAAGCATGAAATATAGATAAACTGCAAAAGTTTAAAGTCAAACTAACCTTCGGTAAGTAATTTTGTTATTTCATTATGTTTCTTGCGGAACGACTCACAAAGCGATGTAAGCGATCCACAACTTCGATCTTTATCGAGAATACATGCAGCTATCTGTAACAAAAAGAATCGAATATTTGGCTTAATAAAATATTAGAATTAAGTGAACTCCATTTTTCCTCAAAAACTCTAAATTTTTTTTGCATTTTACACTTTTTTTTTGCTTCCCAATTCTACTCACTCATCTATCACTGCCTGTTCAATAAGGGTAACTAATTCCACATAAAATTGAAAAACTATCAATTCAAAGGATGAGAAATTTTTTGGATTTCAAAAAATGATAAAAGAATTGCTGTTGAAGCTATAAAATAGAATTTGGAACCATTTTAATGGTAGCTTCCATATCTTCTGTACTTTCTTGCAAACGCTCCTTCAAACTGCACCTATCAGCCATTGCTCCTTCTCGACCGACCCACCCGGTTATCCACCGAATCTCGATCCAATCAACTGGAATAGGCCTTCATTTTCGAAGAGTCGTGAAATTAAGATAGGTCATAACGCAACAATCATTGGATCAATCATTTGTACCATTTACCATCCTGCAATTTCACAAATTCATACTGTGAAATTTCAATGGAGATTATTTTGTATGCAACGAGCAGAATGACGGAGAATAAAATGATCAATGTCCAGAAGTGAGAAGCAAACTTTCGGATCACTTTATCTTTTTTCTAACTTTTAAAATTTTTCCCGAAATTACGATAGGCTAAGCTATCGCTCGACAAATTTATATGTTAATCATTTGTAATTGTGATCAAAAGTTTTTTTTTGAAGCGATAGCATTAAGTAAATGCAAATTTTATTACAATGATTGTAAAATGATTTCTTTCCATATTATCATTGTGATATTCTTCTGTTCATCCTTTTCATAACAATTTATGAGCAAATAATCACAGATAAGAAGTAAAATTTGCTGGTAAAACAGTTTGAACATTTTTGTTACTTATATAGCTAAATCATTACCTCACGTCTTACTTAACACCTTTTACGTTTTATTTTACCTGACTTTACTATTACGTTACAATTTTTTAACTGTTAAGAATTAATAATGCTGCAACTATTTGACTCACAAAGAATATTGTACACCTCATTTCATCCTATAGTGATATATTTTACACTTAACACAGTATCATCAAGTATTTAATATTATATCATAAAATATTTTATTTGGTACAGTACCATGAAATATGATATATTATATGGTACAGTATCATCAAGTATTTAGTACAGTATGATCAACGTTAGAAAAACTGAAACGTGGTACTGTAACCTTACCAGATTAGATAATTTAACATTGAGCAACAATATGTGATATCAATAATTCGTTGTACAGAAAAAGTGTAACTTCACGAATGATTTGAAAATGGAAAAAAAAAAGTACAAATGTGCGATAATATTGAATATATTCCTTTCACATTATCTCAAATATTTATCTTTCACATTCATCGTTAAAAAAAAAAAAAAAAAAAATTTAAGCATTTTTGTTTACACATTTCACTCATAGAATTTTCTATTTTCAACAATTTTTCGTTTGCATTAAAACATTTACAGTTTTGAGCTTATCATTGTTACTAAAAGGCTATTATTGACCAGTCCAATAATGAATTGTAAATGTCGTAATTGTTACGGAATAGTTGAACGAATAAATTGATTAAGGAAATTATTATTGCTGTGGTAAATTTCTTTTCCGATTTCATTTTCAGAAACAACAATGAGGAAGCGCTTGATAGCTTTTAAGTCTTTTAAATTAGTAATTTTCATTTACAAAAAAAAATGCAATAAAAATTCATTGTTACCAAGGATATTGGAAAGATTTATTGTGCATTAATATTTTGCTAATTGGAATAGTTACAGAAATTAATGAAAATAGCATCTCTTTTTGTGGGTTTTTTTTTTCTAAATTGAAAAGATTAATTTACAGTTTACAAGTAAATAGTTTAAAACCGTAACATAATAATTTAAAATTTCTGTTTTTTTGAAGAACAATAGAAAAGTAATTCAAAGTGAACTTTCCATTAATCATTTTGAAAAAGATTGCTGCATAGCAGATGCAGAAATTCTTGCATCCGTACAGGTCATAAATTCGTGACTTAAATTACTGATCGATTCAAGTTAAATCACTACTCTTTTTAGAAATTATGACTCAAATCTTTCAAACTAATCTCAGTTTAATGAACATCATTGAATATTAATAAATTTGTTCATCACTTATCAGCATGAGATATCACTTGGTGATTACAGGAATCAGAAAGAAGATCGAAGGGTTCGTTTTTGTTAAACTTTAGCTATTGTAATATTTTAGTCATGTTGCTCTTATCTTTCCGCTCGCTTATTCATATTAGATGTTCATGATGTCAAAACAACAATCGATAATAGCTGAGGTGGACAATCTTTTATCAAACTATCAAAAAATTTCAATTACAATTTTTTTCAAATAAGAAAAGTTTCAAAAATCAACGGATAAAATACTAATTCGATTATTGCATTTCCAATTTCTCTCTCTTTCAATTACTTCTCTCTCATTCTTTCTTCATTTTCTTTCTTTTTTTAATTTTTCTGCAATAAGCACCGTTATTATTACCGAGGAAAATATTCGGTCTTCTTCTCAATGCTTTCATATATTATTTCCGGATAGGTTACAATTTAAAATTGATAAACTTCAATTTGAAATATATATTTATGTTTATGAATGTATTTCAAATCGTCCACATGTTGATGAAATGTAATGCTAAATTTCAACCAATGGTAATCGTTTATCATTAAATTAATTAAGAATAGGAACTGTTAAAACAGTTTTAAAGAGGTTCACAAAATTTTTTTCCTGTTCTCAAACATACAAATATGTATGTGAGAGTGATTTAAAATTAAAATGGTCTTTGAAAATATTATAATTCATGCGGGGAAAGCTTTTTTTTCGAAGTAAAAAAACTTCCAAGCAATGGTAAATTTATTCAATCACTTTTTATTTTCTTTCACCATATCTCATTTATCAAAACTTACTTTCAACTTACGTATCGCAACTTACTTTTTCATTTTTGAATGATTTTTCAGGAATGAATCAGAAAAGGTGTAAATTTTTGCCAACCATAAAAAAGAAATCGTTATCATTTGCAATAAAATATCATTTGCTGCTTGAAATAACTTCCTTACCTAATCAGTACAAAAATCAGTTTCAGAGAAAAAAAAAGAAAATGAAATGTTATTTTGCAAGGTTATCAATTTTTTTCCCATTTCAAACATCATCATCATCATTATCATGGACTAAAAAATAATTTTCCGATATTTTGAAAGTTAATTAAAAGTAATTTAGCTATTTTGTGAAAAAAAAAATCTTTACAATGAATTTGGTATGATTTCGTTCAAGAGGCTGATTGATGCTTTCATTCTCCTTTTTTTTTTTCTTCAACTTATCTTAGAATTGAGATCGTTTTTATAGGATGAATAATTTTAATTCTTTCATGATAAAATAGAACTATTTTTCTCTTTCTCTCTCCCTCTCTCTCCATGATCTATTTCACTATTTTGCTGTACATTCCTGAATCGTAAAGCATTTTTCTTTTCCTATCCAATTTTTTATATCTCAGTTTTTTCTTTTTTTATCTTTCTGCTCTTTCACCCACTCATCACACATTCTACATCAAAATGCTAACTTTCTTTTTATTTGATATATTAGTTAAAATTTTATTTTCAATTTTTTTCGCAAGAAAGAATGAAATCAATGGTTAATTAATGGCCAATTCAAGCTGATCCACCAAGAATAGTAACAGTTAAAATTTTTTTGTTTGGTTTTAATTAAGGTTGATTTGCTAGAATTTCTGCTCCTTGGATATCATAATTTTTTTTTATTTTAAATCATTTAAGTTCAATTTTTTCAAACTGACTGCAAACAATCAATTTATTTATTTTAGTGCGATAGTTTTTCAACGACAATTTTTGATGGTCATTTTTCTGATGGTTAAATTTGGAAGACATTTTTTTTTTTCTTTTTGATGAATGAATCCTCAAGTAAATTGCTTATTTCATATTTGGGTGCAGAAGGAAGAGGGATAGATTTTTGGGCGCAAAGAGATTTGATCCATTCCTGATTTTTAGGCTAATGTTTGCAAATGAATAAATGTAAATTAGAATAAAATTGTAGAACTCTTGTTCTGACATATTGAAATCTTGCAATTAACACTTCATGCATTCGTACTTTATTCACCTTATCATTTCTTCTCAACTTAAACTTATCAATGTTAGCATTAAATTAGTTTTATTGCTGTAAAACAATAAGGAAGTATAAAGTTATGTGTGTTAATCAAAGAAATAAAGTTTTAAAAAATTTAAAAATTAGTTCGGCAAAAATTTCTAAATCCTATTAATGAATTTAGAAGTCTCGAATGAAATAAAAATGACAATGGCAAGATTAAAGTAAAAGCAAATTTTCATCTTCCAAAAAAATTGTTGCTCTGTCCAAATTATTGATCCCGGCGCAAATGACTGATTGAAGTAAAAAAAAAAACAAATTAATCATAAGGAAAATATCATTCATTCATTTGATACAATCAGTACAACCATGCATAATTTCTCTTATGTAAGTGAAAAACATTTTTCATTTTTCTGAAAAGAAAAATGAAAAACGATCATATAGATGATCGTACACTTTACAACACATCTTTTATGTAAACAAGTTATTGATTAAATTTCAATGAAAACAAAAATGAGAAAATAAACATCAATACTTTCGCTTTTTTTTTCTTCATTAAGATAAATGAAAGATCGTCTTTGAGTCGATATTTTAGGTCTTTCTTTTGTAAAGTAGAAAAATTGAGAAGATGATAATGGCATGAAAGATCTTTCGTCAAAATTTTCTATTTTAAAGTTCTATCAGAAAAAAGGACAATTTTGATTTCATCGATAGAAAAAATGAAGAAAAAAAAATTTTCTTTTTCTTTTTTCCGTTTTTACTGCAAATTAAAACAGTATAATTATTGTTGCATGTTGTAAATGAGTAATAATAATACATTCTTAGCATTGAACATCGTTAATTAAATCATATTAGTGAGAGGACACAAAAGATTTTTCAAAAATCAAATTAAAAATTAACACTTAATTGTTACAGGATAGAAAAATTATTGTAATCGACGAGAAATATAATATGTAAAGAAACTTCTTCGAGAAACAATTAATCCGGAACTCTTTTCCGATTATTTGATTGTTAACTTTCTGGAAAATTCAATAAATCATCACAATAAATTTTTAATCCATTTCATTTCATTTCATTTTCCTATTTGCTAAAATTTTTTTTTTCTTTTTCAATTCTAAACAAATAAAGTGATTGATAAGAAGCAATGAATTTTGATAATGAGAATTGAATTTGAAAATCGTAATCGTACGATTTAGAAATTAATCATTATATGATTAACTTTTTTATGTATCTTTTTTTTCCATCTGTTTGTTCTTTATTCGAATTTTTCGTCAATGAGAACAAAATTATACACATTAAGTACTGGCAAAATTGCATAATAACAGATAAGGTATGATTTTTTCAATAAATGA